ACAGCTGGCAGGCATCGTGGCTGCAGCAGGGGCTACCATCCCTGCAGCCTTCACTCTGCTGCACCTTAACACACACAGTGTCACCCATGTCACAAGTTTTGCTTGTCCGCAGCTTGAGGTGCAGTTCTCCCCAAACCCCTGCACTGATCTTCTTGAAACTTGGCAGGCTTTGTGGCCACACCAGGAGCCACCATCCCTGTAGTTTTCACCCTCCTATAATGTAACGCATAGATGTGACATGAGTTTTGCTTTCAGGAATTTGGAGTGCAGTTCCCCCCAACACCCTGCACCAATCTTCTTGAAACTTATCAGGCTTTGTGGCCTCACCAGGGGCTACTACGCCTGCAGTTTTTACCCCCCTGTGATCCAACACATACACATGACATCAGTTTTTCTTTCATGAATTTGGGGTGCAGTTCCCCCTGAGCCCCTGCACTGATCTTCTTGAACCTTGGCAGGTTTGATGCTCTCCACAGAAACTACAATCTCTACAAATTTCATCCAAATCACACAAAACACAACAAAGTTATAGATATGTCATTGATTCCCCATTATATCCTATGGCTGTATCTCCGAAGCAGTTCCGAAGCTTTTCTGAAGCACTTTGGGAGCTCCAGACCACTTTGGAAAGCCTAACAAAGCCAACGCTTTAATCCGGATATGCTGCTTCGGATGCTTCGACGTCCAAAGCTTCTCCAGATCCGAAGCTCTGTCCAAAGCCTCGCACAGACCTATTGGTTAGCGAGATTACATGAAATACCTGGCCATTTTAATACACTTGCTTCTAGTTAATTCCAAGCATACTTAAAGGCATTGCTTTTAACCAGTAAAGGCCTATATAATTGGATATCTGGTAAGGCTGTGTGAAGTTTTGAGTGCTGATTCGATTCGGAGGAGATTCAGCCCAATTTGGCAGTCAAATCTCCGAATCCAGATCAAATCAGGACCAATTAAAAGGTCCAAATCAATTTGAAGCTCTCCAAATCACTTCGGAAAAGATTCAGTGGGCTTCAGAGATTGGAGCAGGTCCCAGTGGCTGCCGCTGGGAACTAGACCCAGACTCCATGCTGATAAGTAGCGGGCGGGGAATGGGAGGCTGGAGAAGTGGGGAGGGGACCATGGGGGTACCCCTACCAGACCGCATTTCCTGCCTGCTCCCCCAGCCCCCTTGAGCTCCCCCAACCCTCGCCCACTCTCCCAGTGCCCCTCCCCCCGACGTGGCTGCCCTGCCGAGCCCCAGCTCCTGGCTCTTTAAAAAAAAGGCCCTACTCACCAGCTCCTGCCAGACGGGGGGTGGGGGGCAATCCCCACTGCCCCCCACTGCCTCACACTGCCCAACCCCACTCACTCCCAGGAGCCAGTGAGTGGGGGCTTTTTTTTTCAAAGAGCTGGGAGCTGGGGCTGGGGCTGGGCAGGGCAGCCATTGGAGGGGCTGGGAGAGTGGGCAGGGGTCGGGGGGCTCATGGCAGAGCCCCCAAAATGGCATGGGGCAGTGTGGGGCAGTAGGAATTGCCCCCCCCACCTGGCAGCAGCCAGTGAGTGAATCGGATCACTGTACCCCAAATCGGCCAAATCCAAATCTGAAGCAAATACTAGCCGCTTCGCACAGACCTAATATCTGTCTACTTTAGGGGTTGCCTTTGTATGTATGCACCATTGCAATACCTTTGATCAGTTGGCATACTTATGTTGAAAATTACCTGATATGTGTTCTTGAGGGCTGGAGGCAGGAACTCAAAATGTGGGACAAGCTATAGTGTTTTGTTCCATGTTTTCTGGTCACAGAGCCCCTGTAAATAGCAACAAAAGGCCCACCTCAGTGCAAGACAAGTAACAGTGGTGACATGCAGAGAGTGCACAGGGGTGCACATGCACCCCCTGAGAGCACCGGTGCACCTTCTATCAGGCCACGCTCCCCACTCAGGCAACAGGCAGAGGGGCAGGCAGGAGTGCCGGTGCCCCCCCTGCAAGTGCCAGCCAGAGAGTGCGAGCACTGTGGCGCTCCCAGAAGTGGCTGCAGCCACTTCCAGAAGCAGCCACAGCGATCAGCCACCTCACGAGCAGCCATGGGAGTACTCCCCCATCCGGTCAGTGGGATTGGTTGCGGGAGGACACCTCCCCTGGTCACTGACTAGTTGGGGGAGCACGTACCCCCCCCCCCAACTAAGGTGGTACCAGTTGCCCATGATAAGTCACCTGAATATATATAAGGCCAGTGGTGTAACTCCTACACTACTTCCTACTTGCTGGTGGCATAGAAGGACATGATATTGGAAAAGGGGATGTTTCCTGTTCTTCACCAATAATCTCTTAATCCATAGGCTCCATCAGACATGATCTAATTCTGCATCCTGGATGCTTAAAGTTGCTTAGACCAACACACCATCAAGGACGGACTGAAAAAGCACAGAAGTCATCTTTTCATCTGCTTTCCAGAGGTGTTCTGTGCAGTCCATTACTCTAGTAAGCAGGGTCCTAAACTAAGTGTTTGCAGTGCAGAGACACTAGCTCTGAAACATGCTCCTTTGGTGGACTACCCCACCCATATTGACTGATCTTCAGAATATGGGTCAAGACACACATTTTTTGTCAAGCATCAGATCATTAGCTATTCTATTTATTGTGGGGAGTTAATATATAAGATTTTCTTCATTTAGGTCAGGCATACAGATGCCATATAAAAGGTGCATAAACAATAAAAAAGAATGACCCTACCTAAAAAACTACTAGCACTTAAATCTCTGCCTTCCTTAATTATTAATCCATCAAAGGGGATCGCATGGAGCTTGTATTTAATTGCAGGAATAATTATACTCTAAAGGCCTAAAGCTTCAGACATTACTCATTCCTACATGTCAGCTTGAATAACACTGAAGAATATGGCCTGATACCTTTATAATGTTTGCTTTGGCAAATCAAAAACCCATTCAAAAAGTATATACAATTTCATATTTCACAATAATTTTTAAAAATTGTGCTTTATTTACGTTTTAAGTTATAACTTATATCTAAAACATCATACTCTAACATAATTTGACTAGCTTGTTTTGTTTTTATTCAGCGATTTACATCAACGTGCTAATATAAAAATAATTATGTCACAATTAAAAGGTGCACTGTTTAAGGTGTGAACATGCCTTTCATCATAGCAAAACTTGATTTTCACTTGATTCTTTTGGAAATATGAGATCATTACAGGTATATGCTTCATTGTGCTCATGCATTCAAACTCTAGATAATGGCTTTTTGCCAATATAATTTAAAATGTTTGCTTTCAAAATATAAAAGAAAATCTAATTACATGTTATTTTAAATGAATACTGCATATTTTATTTATAAAATTTGAAATACATTCTTTTTATCTAGATTTTAAAATACAGTTATTGTATCTAACCACTATACAAAATGCCCACTTAAGGCAAGGTCCTGAGAAAAGGTCCGGATAAACTTGACATCATTCATGAAAGGTCAACTTACTGAGAATACAGGGCCAGTTGGAGAGGTGAATGCTGGAATGAAGGAAACTCTATAAAATACCTGTATCCAGTCCTAGATATCAGAAGTTTCCTAGTTCACAGGTAGCAATTAGAGTAGGGGAACAGTTTTTTCAGGTAGCCAGCATCCAACTATTTAGGGTTTCACAGAACTGTCACTGGGATGGAAACAGGAAATCAGTGCAGTCCAGGAATTAGAATGCATCCTATGGTTAATATTATCAAGCAGGTGAGCAATCCTCTGTATTAGCTGTAGCCTCTGCGCCATGTTCAAGGGTAGCTACAGCTATAATCCAGTTAGGAAACTGTGAGAGCATGAATAACTGTGGGAAGGTATACAAGAAAAGTAAATAACACAGCTGAAAAACAAAGTGTTTTGGCTGCTGCTACCACCTGCAAATCTAAAAGCAAGCAGGGATCAAAAAGTATCAATGCATTATGAGTTTCTGGGACACATTCCATTCCCAGTTTGACTCCCAGACACTAGCATCACCTCCATCTTGGAGGTTTGATGCAGACAAGTTGGAGAGAGTCCAGCGGAAGGTAACAAAAATGGTTCAGGGACTAGGGCACATGTCTTATGAGGAGAGGATGAGGGAACTGGGCTTATTTATTCTGCAGAACAGAAGACTGAGAGGAGCTTTAATAGCAGCCTTTAACTACCTGGAGGGTGGTTCCAAAGAGGATGGAGCTAGACTCAGTGGTGACAGATGAGAGAACATGGAGCAATGGTCTTAACCTGCAGCAGGAAGTTTAGGTTGGATATTAAGAGAAAATTTTTCACTAGGAGGGTGGAAAAGCACCAAAACAGGTTACCCAGAGCTGGTAGAATCTCCATCCTTGGATATTTTTTTAGGTCCAGCTTGACAAAGCTCTGGGTGGAATGATCTAGTTGGGGACAGTCCTGTTTTGAGCAGGGCGTTGGACTAGATTACCTCCTGAGGTCCCTTCCAACCCAAATTTCTATGATTCTATGATCTTGTATGACTTACATACTTAAATACATCATTCAAGATTTTTAATTTTTACCATATTCAAAAGAAACCTGATATGTGCCCACTACTAGAAGGAAGTTATGAATAAAAAAGAATAGCTCTGATTAGGCAAATGCTGACTTGAAAAAAAGGAAATAACGTTTTCTATAACTTTGAATGATATTAAAGTTGTTTCCTCACAATTTTGTCAAAAATGTCACCCAAAACCCAGAAGGATTAAAGTCACAGAAGTACCATGACAAAGGTTTGCTTTTCTGAAGCTGGGATTAACCCAAAAATTGGTGTCCTGTATTACCAATCTCCCCTAAAAACAGATGTAATAGTTCTCTTATTTGCCAAGGAATGACAGAGAGGTCCATCCTGCAACTCCCTTAATACCTCTAGAATGAAACAGAGAAGACATTTAGTTTTTCTCCTACAAAAGTGGAAATCCTAGTCCAAATTTGATCAGTATTTTTCTGTGAATTATGAATATCAGCAATGATATTGACACATAGTCATTGTTACAGGTTTGTAAGGTGCCCCAGGGACATGGGCAGGCTGAGAGTGACCAAACAGCTGAAGGGTGGATTGAGGCCAGTGGTGCCCAGGAGGGACCTACCATCTACTGAACAGAGTAAGGCTCACTCTAGGACTCTTGAGGCAGCCTCCCTTTCAACCCAATATGTACATCAAGGCTTGGTGGGTGGGATAGAGGGGAGGGTTACCTAGAGGTGAGAGTGGGGGTATGGGTTACGGGGCCATCAGAGGGCATCACAGCTGCCCCTAGGATCTCAACTGGTTACAGTGTGGCATACAGCAGAACTGGAAAGGGACAGACAGCACAGTAGTGGATAGGGCAGGAGGCAGAAAGCAGAACAGCTGATTAGGCAGGAAGCATAGGGCTGGATCAGACAGGGGAAAGGGACTGGAATGGTATTTGGGGAAGGTACAAGACTAGTTTGTTGCATGACTGCCAAAAAGGTTGCCCCCCTACTGTGCTAGAAGGTCACAGCAAAAAATAAAAAAGAAAAATATGCCAGATCAGAACAGAAGCTAAAGGCACTTCAATATATATACAGAGAGAGAGAGACTACTATGAAAAGCACTATATATAAAAACAATATTCACAAATGTAGCTTAGCAAGTAAACCAATCAAAACCTTTCACTACAGTGAATAATGTGTTGGTATTCCATGCAATCAAGGTAAACTATACAGAGTACACCACAGTGGTGTGTTTTTTTTCTCCTGTGATTTTTTCCATATGAAGGAATTATTTAAACCATATTTTTACTGTAGCAATATCTCTTAGATTTACATAACCAAAAGAGCCATGAATCAGACACCTTATGTTTTCATATAAACAAGAAAAAACTATTTGATTATATCCTGAAAACATTACACTTGGATGTTATGAAAAGCGAATACCAGAAGGATAGCAGATTGGATTACAGAGACAAGGAAAAGAGTACTGGCAAATCTGTCAAATGACATTGCTACTGTATTTAGTAGAGGGGATGGTACTACTATACATCACAGTACTAATTAGTTATATGCAGTAGTTGGATTTATTCATATATGGAAACAACATAAAGTTGATAAGATCATTTGATTCTCAAAGCAATGTTAAATCAACACTATTTAAATCACGCTACAGATGAATGTGATAAGCTGGTGTACACAAACTTCTTGAGAAGCATGCTACTTGAGAAAAATTTGGCAAGATTTCTTCATGAAATCAAACAGGTTCCTGTTGTATTTGGCAATCAATACAAATCTCCTCTTCTCCTTGTACTCAACATCATACAAATATGTTCACTCAAGGATATTTATCAAGAGGATGTTTTAAAAAAAATGTGATTTAATATGTCATCCAGCCTGTAAACAGCATAAACCCAAAGAACTCTGAAATTGTTTCCTTAAATAGGAATAGGACATAGGAAGTAGGCAGTAATAGGACATGGGAAATAGAGAGGATCTCTGTAGTAGTGAGAACATAATAATGTTAGAAGTGTCCCTTGATGGTTAGAAAAGCAGTATGAAGTGGGATTCAGCAAAGGTTTTTCCTGAGTCCGGTACTTTTTAGTTCTTTTATCAATTACTGGGGCCAGGTACAACCATTACACATGAACTGGTATAAGTGATCAGAGCCAGTCTACACCCCTAACCGAACAGAAGGTTAGCATACATAGACTGGTTTAAAAATGGCATAATCTGGTCTAAGATAGACCTGAATCAATGTGGTATCAGACATAAGAAATTTGAGTTAGACTGTGTGGCAGGGCACTAGGTGTGCCTGCCACTTTAAGGCCCTGGAGCTGGCAGCCTCCAGGTGCCTAATGAGGGCAGCCATTTTAGGCTCAGCGCTGCCTATATAAACAAGGCAGTTTGGCTGCTGGAGGGTAGGAGCTTTAGGGCTGCTGAGTTTCATCTGGAAGTAAGGGAAGAGCTGTAGGGGATGGTAGGAGGCTTCTGGTCCTGGGTACAACTGGAACCTGCACCCTGCCAGGAGTGGGTGGCCTGGTGGGGCTCCCAGTGGTGCGGGAGCCCCCAGGAAATGCCAGGCCAGTGATCACCCCGGTGAAAGGCGGGTCAGGGTGCCTTAACCCCTAGCCCTCACCTTAGGGTGGGTTGCGTTCCATCGGAGGTAGTTGTGGGGGTGCAAGCCCTGAGGAGGAGAGCTGGAGGCCAGGTGTGGCCAAGGCCACCTGAGCCCTGTGGGGGTTCTAGACCCCAAGGAGGGGAGTTGGGGCCAGGCATGGCTATGGCCACTTGAGCCCACCTGTGGAGGGAAGCCCTGAGCCCCCAGTGTGAGGGGGGCAGTATGGGGAGCCCTGTGAAGGGAAAGGGGGCTCAGCCAGAGGCAAAAAGCTGAGTCCTGACCCCAGTAAGTCTTCCAATGTGGGGAGGCAGAGTTTGGGTCGAATATAACACCAGTAGTAGTAACATGACCTGCTTCCCGGGGGGGAGTGAGAGTCCCCTGTGAGACCTTGAGGTCCCAGTCGTGGTATGAGGTAAGCCCAGCTCCCCATGTCTGTGGAGGAGAACCCAGAGAGGGGGACCCTGGGAAAAGAGTACGGGTCATACCTCAAGGCCTGCCAGAGCTTCCCTTGACTGGCCCAGGCGGGTGCCAGGACCAGGAGAGTCAGAAGGGCAAGGAGGCCCACCGAGAGGGACGCCCAACAGTCAGGGGCCTGGGGTCCCAACTGGCCTGGAGGTGGGCCGGGGCTAGTGTGAGCCGAAGGTCCCAGTGAGGGGACTGCACCCGAAGGGGAACTGGTGGCAGAAAGAGAGATGGCCTAGTATGACGGCGGCAGAGTCTGCCTGAAGGGAGGAACTCAGGTGGGTTCCTACAGCAGGATTCTGGTGCCCATCGTGGAGTACTGGCGCATTTGAAAACATCATGCTGTCATCTGCGAGACTTGGGCTGCAGTGTAGGGGAGGAATGGAGCTGCAGATAGTGCCCCCTAGCAGCGGGGCAGTAAATGGGCAGCCTTCCACCTAATTACATCTATTAATTAATCAATTAAGACCAAGGCATGGCGGGCCAGAAGGCAGGCAGTTAACCCAAGAACAGGTGGGCGAGCCATGCAGAGATAGGCCCTGGTAGGCCTCCTGTTACAGACTGCTTTATTGAACTTCTGTACAAGATTCCGACAGTGGAACTGAGTGTACACTTTCAGCTGCAAATGGCACCAAGCTGGTTGAGCAGTAGGCAATTTAAGAGGAGAGGATTAGGATTCAAAATGGCCTTCATGAGTCGGAAAAATGGTGTGAAATAGGATGACATTCAAAACTACTACGTTTAGGAAAAACATGTACAATACTGTATGGGGAATGGCTGGTTAAGCTGCTGTACTGCAGCTTAGGGTCTTAGTGGATTACAAGCTAAATATAAATAAAGTGTAATATTATTTTACCTTATTGATATATATTAATAGGGGAGTTGTATGGAAGTAATGGGAAGTGATTCTTTCACTGCTCACATAGAAGACTGCACCCAGCTTTGGGCATCACATTTTAAGAAAGATATGGGCAAAATGGTAAGAGTTGAGAAGAAAGCAACAAAAATGTTTAATATCTTTGAACAAAGCATATGAAGAAAAGTTGGAAGAACTTCTACATTTCATTTTAGAGAAGAGAAAAATGAGGAGGGTTTGATAAGTCTTTCAATACAAAAAAGACTTTTTGCCATTGAGTTGTCTTCTGTGTCCACTGATGAAAGGCAAGACATAACAGTTTTAAATTCCAATAGAGAGCTGATTATTAAGAGAAAAGTACATACTGGAAGGGGTCATAGAGAGTCTGTTACTGGCAGTTTTTAAGTACAGATTAGGTAAATATTTATCTGGGTGGGATAGGTTTAGACAGAAATGACCTTGCAATGAGCAGGGGTTGTAGATGACCTCTTGAGGTCCCCTTCAGTTCTATTTCTCTATTTTCCAGATGAAGCAAAGTAATGTTGAAGGTCAGAGAAAAGAAAGGAGAGACAGAATCAAAAGCTGTGAAACCCAAATTCTGTCATTCAGGTTCTGAAAAGGAGCTAGGTTCTTTAAATAGTGCATAATTCTAATTCAGTGATTCTCAACCCTGTTAAACCCCTGGCACCAGTCAAAAAAATACCAGTTCTTCACTTTCACACATGTTTTTATTGGGAAAATAATAGAACTATTCTTCTATGGAGAGGTGGTGGAAGCTCGATCCTTGGAGGTTTTCAAAACCTGGCTAGACAAAGCCTTGGCTGCGTTGATCTAATTGGGGATGGTCCTGCTTTGAGCAGGGGGTTGGATTAGATGACCTCCTGAGGTCTCTTCCAACCCCAACTTTCTATAATTCTGTGCTTGCAAAGAATTTGCAAGGACCACAACAGGCAGAATGTTTTTGACACTAAGGTATTCCTATTTGAAAATTCTGGGTTTATTTTGTGAATAATGTGTAGGTGTTTTTCACAGCTAAGAACACTAATATTGCACGGCACCCTGTAGTATCCTTTAAAAGATCTCATGGTGTGTGTGGAAGGGCACCATAGGTTCCTGTCAATTTAAGGGCCTGAAGCTAGCACCTGACAGGTGCCTGATGAGAGCAGCCATTTTGGACCTAGGGCTGCCTATATAAACAGGGCAGTTTTGCTGCTGGAAGCCAGGCAACAACATTGCCTGCCTGCAGGTATCATCTGGAGGTAAGGGAGGAGCTGTAGGGGAGGGTCAGGAGGCTCCTGGTCCTGGGCATGACCTAAAACTGCACCCTGCTGGGAGTGGGTGGCCTGGTAGGGCTTTCAGTGGTACAGGAGCCCCCAGGAAATACCAGGCCAGTTATCACCCCAGTGCAAGGTGGGTAGGGGTGCCTTAACCCTAGCCCTCACCTTTTGGGTGGATTTGCATACCATCGGAGGTAGTTGCAGGGGTGCAAGCCCCAAGGAGAAGAGGGGAGCCAGGCATGGCTATAGCCACCTGAACCCTGTGGGGATGTGAGACCCTGAGAGGGAAAGTTGGGGCCAGGCACGGCTGTGGCCCCCTGAGCCCACCGGGGAGTAAACTCTGTGGCCCCCCAGTGAGGGGGCAGTCTGGAGCCCCAAGGGAGAGGGGGCAGAAATTAGGACCCCAGTGAGGGGCATAGCCCCAATGAAGGGGGCCAA